CGCGCTCGCACCCCGCTCCGGGGCGGCTGGGTGGCGAGGGACCGAGCGCGCGGCGGCTGGCCGGAGAAGGGACGCGCGCGGCGGGCGGCCGCGGGGCATGAGGCGGGGGCGCGATGTCGGTGCCGCTGCTCAAGATCGGGGCGGTGCTGAGCACCATGGCCATGGTCACCAACTGGATGTCGCAGACGCTGCCCTCGCTCGTGGGGCTCAACGGCACCGTGTCCCGTGCGGGCGCCTCCGAGAAAATCGTGAGTGGCGCCGTGCGGGGGGCGCTCCCGGGGGGGCGTGGTGCCCGTGCCGCCGCCGCCGCCGCAGCCTCCGGGGGCCCCCGCCTGCCTGGCGCGCCCGGGTCGGGGGCGCCCTCCCGGGGCTCGGGGGCTGGACGTGGAGAAAGGCGGAGGGAGCCCCGGGACCCCCGGGACCCCCAGGCGCCTCTGCGCCGTCTAGCGTGGTCGTTGCTGCCATTACTGATTATTATTATTAGTGAGCAGTGTCCGAGTGCCAACAACGTGCCGGGCTCGCTCCGCCCCGGGTGGTGGCGACAAGGGCTGCGGATTAAGCCAGATCGGGGCGGAGCGGGAGGGTGAGATTCGGGGCCGGCGAGGGACCCTGTGTCCGAAAGGTGGGAAGGGTCTCGTGCTCTCCGAGTGTCCCCACCTTCAGGGTCTCTGCCTGGCTGTGTCTCGGTGTCTTTGAGGAGTTCCGTCTCTGTCTCTCTCTCTCCCTCTCTCTTCTTTTCCCTCTGGTTTGCTTCTCCGGATCTCTTGCTATTTCTGGCTGTCCCTGTCTCTGTGGCGCTGTCTCTGACTTTGTATCTCTTTTCGTCTGGCTGGCTTTTTCTCTCCCCTGTAGCCCCCTCTTCCCTAGCACCCCCTCCTCATTACCTTCCTCACCATGTGCTGAATATTTATACCCATAACTCGCCCTCCCTGGGAGGCAGAGGAGGCTCAGCTGGGGCCCGGGCTGGGGCTGGGACTGGCGCTGCCTCCGGAAGCTCCGAGATTGCAGCCTTCCCTTCCCATCCCCCGCCCCTCGCCTGCATCCTCAGCTTCCCTCTCCCGGGGGCAGAAGAGGGGGCCCCCATCGGGTTAATCTCAGTGGTCCTGGTGTCCTGGGGAGAAGGGAGGGGGCTTCCTCCACTGCAAACTTCCCTCAGCCTCGTCCAGAAATGCCCCCCCTCCCCGCCCCTCTGGGAGCCCCTCCCCTCTTCAATCTGTTTGTGGGACTCCTCCCAAAACGTGGGGCTTAGATTCATGGTGCTCCCTGTCTTCTGCCCCAACTTCACCAAGGCCCCTGCTTAGCTCCAAATGTCCATCATGCCAGATTCTTTCTCTCCCGTGGCTGGAAGCAAGAGGGACTTTACTTTGCTCCCAAGGGTTGCAGGCAAGTGGTGAGAGGTGACATCCCCTGGGGGGTGGAGGGGGTGGCAGGTGCTTTGTCCAGCCCCTGGGGGGAGTTGGCATTGAGCTTGACTCAGGTGAGAGCTTTGCGGCCAAATTCTCAGACTTGCAGCCCATGTGTGAAACGGCGTCTTTCTGTGTGTCTTTCACGTCAAGTGCTATTATCTGGGTATGTCCTGGTGTGTCCGTCTCTGCATGCGTTTCCATGTGTGTCTGGAGGAGTGTGAGAAGGAAGTTTATGTGCATAGCCAGCGTGGGGTCCCAGTGCCTCTTCCTGTATGTGACGGTACATCCCAGAATGAGTGTGGGTGTGTCCCTGAGCGTGTTTGGGCGTGGATGTATCTGAGTGTGTATCTGCAATTATATGTCCCTGACTCTCGGTTCGCATGTGTTACGTGATTGCCTGTGCACCTCTCAGTTTGTGTACGTGATTATGTCGCCACCTGCTTGCTGTTGCCATCTGAGGTGGGGAGAGAGATGGTGTCTCATTGAAATCGGAAGACAAATTCTCCTGCCTTCCCATCTAAGGAGTGTGAGTCTGTGTATGTGTGTGCAGGTGTGTGTGTGTCTGGAGAATGTGTACATAAGTGTGTAAAAGCATGTCTTGAGTTATGATTTTGCATGTGCATGTGTGCGTGTGCAAATGCATGTGCACAAACATTTTTGTGTCCCTGTGTGTAGACGTGTATGTCTTTGTAGGTGTGTGCATATAAGTGCAAGTGTGTATTTATGAATGTGTGTGTGCCCCTGCCTTGTATGCATGTGGGTAGGTTCCTGTGTGTACTGTGTGTTTTCTGTAAGTGTGTACGTGTGTGTGCCCAAACAGACCTGGTCTCCACTCTGGCGCATGCGGAGCTAACCGCACCTTGATCTAGTGCTTCCATGAAATCCCCTGCTGAAAGCTACAGTTTCCTCATCTATAAAATGGGAATGAGAATTATTACCTCACAGAATTGTTGTGGGTAGCAGAGATCTGCTGTCTAGATCCTCATCCATCCGTTATTTCATCTCTCCATCCATCTTTACGCCATTCTTCCATACACCCATTTCCTCATCCTTCTATCCATCCATTATCAATCATCTGTCTCTCTGTCCTTTCGGGGATCCATCCTTCTATCCATCCATCTCTCTCTCTGTGCATCCACCAATCCCCCATCCATCCATTATTCATCATCCAACCATTTCTTTATCTGTCCTCTCTGCATTCATCCTTCCACTCCTCCATGACTCTATCCATCATCTCTTCATCCATCCATCCATCCACCCACCCACCCATCCATCCACCCATCCATCCATTCGTCTCTCCATTTTATTTATTCCACAAAACTATGGAGTGCCTCCTCTGTGTCAAGCACATAGATGTTTGAAAGCCTCCAGCTCAGAGTCTGAAATAGTAGATGCTCATTTATTGATCGGATTTTGAGTCAAACATATCTGGGTTTGAATTCTGGCCCCGCGAGTTACTAGCTATGTGACCTTGGGGGAAATTCTTTAGTCTCTAAACTCCAATTTCCTTATTAGTCAGGGAGAATTTAGAGTCTCCATGAGCCTGTAGGATCCATGGGGACATCTTATGTTTTGCTCACTACTGAGCGCAAAGACCTGACGCATAGTAGGTCTACAACAACAAATATTTGTCAAGTGGCCAAATCAGCAATCACACCTTCGTAATAAGGATTTGTGGATTCCACCTTCCAATGGAAACCAATGGCAGACACATAGTAGGTGTTTAGTAAGGAGGGGTTGTTTTGTTCACTCTTGTAGCCAAGCCTGGAATAAATACTTGTCAAGTGTCCAAGTCAATTTCACTTTCCTAAGAAGGATTGGGGAGAACAAATGGGAGTGACTGGGCACATAGTAGGTGCTCAGTAAGGAGGAGATGTAGGAAGGCGTAGTGCACCAACATGGAGAAGGCTGAGGGGTTCAGGAACCTAAGCAGTGTGAATTCTCAAAGTCCTGAGACAGAAGGTTGGATGCTGGTGTTTAGCTTAATAAAAGACCTCAGCTGGGTGCAGTGACTCACTCCTGTGATCCCAGTCCTTTGGGAGGCCAAGGGGGGAGGATCACTTGAGGCCAGGAGTTCAAGACCAGCCTGAGCAACATAGTGAGATCCCATCTCTACGAAAAATAAAAATCAGCCGGGTGTGGTGCCGTGCACCTATAGTCCCAGCTACTCAGGAGGCTGAGGTGGGAGGATCCCTTGAACACAGGAGTTTGAGGCTGCAGTGAGCTGTGATTACACCACTGCACTCCAGCCTGAGCGACAGAGCAAGACCCCATCTCTGAAGAAAAATCAAATACAATTTTAAAAATAAAGTAGCTCGGTGATGTGTTCCGGGTAAGCCCAGACCCTCGAGTCATGCTTTTCACTGGCTTCTGCCTCCTCCATTTGGAGAAGCAACATTCTTGTGGTTACAGACCATCTCTGGGGAGGAGGAGGAAGGAAGCCACCGCTGCTACTACCTTTGCCAACTCTCAGCCTTAAACCATCCCTGTGGGATGGGAGCTTTCAGCGGAAAAGCTCCTCACCTGGGGATCATAAATCCAGAGCTAGACTAAGAGCTGTCAGCCCCATTGCCGGCGGCTGCCGGCGTCTCAAGGGGCCTGGAGCAAGTTACCTGCATCTTGCGTGTTATACCTCACCCATCCCCTCCTCCCCAAGGGCTGGAGGGAAGGAAGGGGAGATGGAGGGGGGTATTCCATTTGGGGAGGACCCTTTTCCTCGTGGGAAGAATGGGGAGGGGTCTGAGCAGCTATCAGGAAAAGGCTGTTTGAGGACTTCTCTATGAAGACTCCTGCCTTTTCTTGACAGTTTTCTGGGGAGGGGAAGCCACAGTTACTCTGTGTCAGTCAAGACAGGCTGAGCAACACTGCGGTAACAAACCACCTCAAATCTCAGTGGTTTAACACAGCAAAAGTTTGTGTTTTTGCTTCCACTATGTAGCTATCCTTGGCTGGCAGCTGGGGGGAGGGGGGGATGGCTCTGTCCATGGTGGTCGCTCTGGGACCTGAGATGATGGAGGCTCTATTGAGTCACGATCATTGAGGTCACAGGAAAAGGAGGTCACGGCAAATCCACCACCAGTTCTTAAAGCTTTGCCTGGGAAGTGGCATATGTCGCTTTTGCTCCCAGTTCGTGGGTCAGAGCAAGTCCCATGGCCATGCTAACCTCAAAGAAGAGGAGAAGAGTGGTCGTACCACCCTGGATCCACTAACAGAAGTGGCCAAGTATTTGTGAATATGCCTCACTCTGCCAGTCTTTTGTCTTCTTACCTAAACTGATGGGAATTCCCAGAGAGTGTGTCTCTATTCATTCATTCACTCACTCACTCATTCAACAAATATTCATTGAGCACCTACTATGTGCCAGGCATATGATGGTGAACAAGAGAGATGGAAATCCTTCATGGAACTGACATTCTAGGGCAGGGGTGGGGACTAGCAGACATGTATATAGAGACATCTGTACTATGTCAGGTGGCGGTAAGTGTGCTATAAAGGAACATAGAACAGAATGAGGGGGGAGTGAGGGGAAACTATTTTAGATTGCCTCTCTGAGGAGGTGACATTTCTGCAGAGATCTGAAGGAATTGAGGGAGCAAAGAGGGAGGGAAACCAGAGGCAGAGAGTTACAGGTAGAAGGGATGGCAAGTGCAAAGGCCCTGAGGTAGGAATATACTTGAAATGTTGGCAGAACAGTGAGGAGGCCCATGTGGCTGGAGCAGAGTGACCAAGGTGGGGAGAGAGAGAGAGAGAGAGTGAAATAGAGAGAGAGAGAGCAAGAGAAGGTGAGAGTAGGGAGGTGATGGGAGCAGGAGGGACCCACATCATGGTGGGAGGTGATCTTG